GGCACTTTGCAAAACAGTCATGGCACTGATAAAAAATATATTTTATTGATGTGTTCATGTAATTATATAATTTTATTTTGTAATATTGTATCGTTAATTATTAATATTATTATCTAAAAATTTTTCATAAAGAAAAACTATAATATATATTTAAATAATTAAATATTTAATTATTTAATCCATAAAATTTTTTATTGAATCAACTTATAATATACATATATATTTTATTGAATATTAATAGAGAGAAATATTTAATTGAAAATCATGTTATTTATAACTGAATTTAATTATAATTATATTGTTATTATAGAATATTGTCGATTTTTTATTATTATTTTGAAAAATTAAATTTTCACAAAATATTTCTTTATTTTCTATTCGTTTATTAAAAATAAAATTCAAATATTTTTCATTATTATTTATAATATTTAGTTATAATTTTAAGTTAACAAAAAAAAATATATAATTTATAAATTAAGAAAAATATTCCTGAAAGATATCTTTAATAAAATGATAAATATATTTTTTTATATATAATATAATATAAATATACAATATACAAGTGATATATAATAAATATAAAAATTCCTAAAAATTATTGCAAATGTATGTTTTCGAGATATTAGATATTTCATCTAAACTATACTATTAAAAATTGGCACTACTTCACATCGAAAATCGACACCACATTCACATCGAAAATCGATGTCATGTGTCGATTATTCTTATTTCTTAACTGATGAACTTAAATAATAATGAATCCTTTTCTAAAATTTGCACACAAAAAAGTACGATTAAAACGTGCATAAAAGAAAGGTGAACAGCGATCATAAATTTCCCGATGACAGTCATACTTAAAATACTTAAAGTTTTCTCTGCATCGAAGAATATGTATCTTTTGAAACCGCCTCGACTTTTTAATCATTTTATCAACTATCAAACTGTCAAACTATTTAAAACGTGAGTAACAAGGATTTTGAATGATTTTTAACGATTTTTGTATATTTCATTAATTATTAGATATTTTATAAATGTTGAATGAAACTTATAATTAATTATGATCATAATAATTATTATATGGAGCGTGCGAAATTTATTGAAGCATTATCATCGTCGTCGATGGAATTGTTTTGTAGCGATAGAGTTATGAGGGGGTTGCAAAAGTTGGATAATAGGGTTGATGTTACGTAAAAGTTATATAGGATATATATGCTTATATATAAAACGCTATATATATATATATATATATATA